CGTTAGCAAGCAGGTTACTGTTCCTTCTGGTTCCATCTGATCTCAGATCTTCATCCATTCTGGGAAATCTAACCCTCCCCTTTTGCATACTTGGAATTTGTGTATGAATTTCAATGGAGGAGGGAAAAATATACTTGACAAATACAAATTAATGTTTCAGAATATCCTGTTATATAGATATCTTAGGGAACTTCAAAATTGAGCAACTTCCCTCCCATTATGTTCTCTGCTCCACATTTCCTGAGTTAATCTACCTGGTAGGTCAACAGAGTCCCTCCCAAGCACTTTGAAGGCACATGGTATAAACTGCATCAACTATTGGCTGCTCAGATACTCTAGCTGTGCAAAAGTCTCGTGAAGCATAATTTTCAGTAGAGAGAAAGGGATATTCTTCCCATGGCAACTCTGTAGGTTGCATTGTGGTAGACATTTCTTAGGTATGCAGTGTCTAGAATATCATTTTACAAAGCTATACAACCAATCCCATTTGTGTCTATTTCTTATATTTAGACCTTGCTGAGAAAAGAAAAGGCAAAAAGAGGAAATTGCTCATAGATCCAGTCAAGGAGATCAGTAGCAAAATTATGCATAAACAGCTTACTTCCTTTATGGACACACTCATGGTTTTGGAACTTGCACCTCCTACCCGAAGATTGATGATGTGGAAGAAGAAGGGAGGAGTGGACATACTTCTGTCAAGTCCTGCCCAGGATATGACTCATGCGGAACTGAAAATGGTAATAGTTTCCATCTTTTTACATAGTTGCAGTGCTTGGTTATAAATAAATAAATGCATATTTACGTTCATGTATACAACAGAATATAAACTGGTGAAAAATACTCCCTTACTTTTGAATTAATTTGCTTGATGTGTGTGCCTGAATTATAGTTTTCACTTTTTAGCATATGTGCTTGTATTTTATTGAATTGCTTTGCTTGTTCAAAAGCAAGTAATAGGAGTGTATATTTTTACAGTTGTTTACAAAGTGCTTTCTGTCCTCTGGCTTTAAACTTGGAAGGAAATTGATACAGAAGGAATCAGTAAGGGAAGAAGTGGGAAATGAAAACATAATAGGTGAGACATCCTAACTGTTGGTGTTGAGGGGATTGTTACAGAAACAAAAGCGTCATTTTATATTTCAAAATGAAGATGGGATCCAATTCCATATTCCCAAGTATAACTGCTATCTCTAGAAGAATATTTCAGCTTAAGAGAAACTGTTACATCAGCATTGCCTTTTTTCTTTGCAGATTAATTTTTGTTCAACAAGTACACTAAAAAGATGAAGTATATATACTATGTGGATTCCTCCTAATCTCACTCCTTCCTACCTCCCTCATCCCTACAGGCAGTACTCACAAAACTTCAACAGATAAAATTATTTTATCTTGTAGGATAGTGTTTCACTTTAAGACAACTAAAAGGAAAAGTCACCTAGTGATAAGAATAGCATTTCAACAGTACAATGAATCTGAGATGTAGAAATTTCCATCCACCCAGAAGCTACTTGGAGTATTGATAATTGCTGATTATTATTGTGACTATTCTAAAGGAATAATAAAACCAGCTTATGTAACGAGTGAATCTCTGCTTCGTGATCACCTGTCCTGAAGGCATTAAAATCTGCCACACAATACACCAAGATGGGCTTGAACTATCCATGTTATCTTGTGAGTGCCTGTTTGGGAGTGAGTGTGGAGGAGATAGTAGGTGGACCATGGGGAGGGAGGTGATAAGAAGCAGACAAGGGACAAGGGAAGATAAATATGTGAAACTTGGGAAACTATAAGAAAGTTTGTGTACACTTTGCTTAAATTCTTAGATTCCAAGTTTTCTGTCAGAAGTTTTCTTTTGTAACAACCATATCCCAATTTAAGTTTGAAAGATAGTTTGGTGAAATCTTCTCTACTTACTAATTCAGAGACCTCCGTGATGGAAGAGCCAAATTCTCGGCAAGACCTAAGTCAACCCAAAACTTGGAAGGATGTGATCAATGGACCTAAGTGTAGCTCTCATGAGGATACCAATAAAAATATTAATTCTGAGGTAAGTTAACCAAAGAGAATCATAAAAGCATTATTTTTCTGACACAGATACAGTGAAGGAAACTTGAGACTCTGACATGTCTTCTTACATTTATAGTTTATATTTAGTCTTATGTTAGTCCATAATTTGTTTGGTAAGGGGCAGTGGTATGTAAAGCATGATTTTCATCTGTAGAACAGTATTTTCTAGAAATTTAAGAGAGTAAATAAGAAGATAGTAGTTTCATGCTGAAATAATTTGCATGGTAATCAAATAAGTGATTGTACTTGAATCCAGTTATATCCTGAAAATCCTCTTAGGCCCCACATTCAGTATGTCATGGAATGTTTTTAGGACTCTAGACAATACACCCATGTTTTGTGTCTGATCAGAAAGTCACTCTTCCCACCTCTAAGAATATGTTTTAGACCTATAATTACCTTAGCCTTGAATCCAAGAGACTATCTGAAGATCCATGACCAAAGAAAAATTTTTTAAAAATTTTATTTGAAGACATAATTTTTATTCAAAAAACGTTATTTAAAAACATAGTTGGAAACAGTGTGCTTTAAAATATTTTTCCTGGGGCACCTGGGTGGCTCAGTCGGTTAAGCGGCCGACTTTGGCTTAGGTCATGATCTCGCGGTCCGTGAGTTTGAGCCCCTCGTCGGGCTCTGTGCTGACAGCTCAGAGCCTGGAGCCTGTTTCAGATTCTTTGTTTCCCTCTCTCTGACCCTCCCCTGTTCATGCTCTGTCTCTCTCTGTGTCAAAAATAAATAAACGTTAAAAAAAATTTTTTTTAAATATATTTTTCCTATTGTCACTTTAGTGATTGTACAGATATAGCCACACCAGATAAAAAGAAACCAGTGCTCTTCTGGTTTGCTCCATCATCACTGCATTTTGATAACCACTCAGGGAATTCAAAGTCAGTCCACACTGAAACTGAATGCTCTTGGAAGGAAAGACAATTTCACAACGCACTAACACAGAATGTATTTTACTAAATATTTGATAGTATACTAGATATTGAATTATTAGGTTGCCAATATCTTCCTTATTTGGGCTCAGGCATTTCTTAGAGTGCACCTACTGAAAATTATGATCAGGCAAGCTTGTTTAGTTCATGATTTTTTAACATATTAACAAAACAGATTTTCCCTCATGCTTGAAGAGATTGATGTATGAGTTCTCTTGAACCATTTAGCTCCTCTGCCCTAACTTATGCTTTAGTCTTCAATTCCATTTTTATTCTGCTTCCAAAAATGGTGAACAGATGTGAAATACAGTCAGGAATGGGAGCACATTGACAGGACAGAAAAGTATTGATTCTGATTAGTCATTTTCAAATCTTTATAAAGCATTTTTTATGTAAAGTAACTGCAAAATTGAGAGTATCTAAAATGTAGAATATTCATAGAGATTAAAAGGGAAAAGACATAAGTCTCCACAAACATGCATGTTGAAGAATAAAATGCAACTCCTGATACTCACTAAACATTCTGAAAGCTGCAATGAAAAATCAAGGAAGCTTTGTTGAAGGAAGCTCCTACCTGAAGACTGGTTAAAGATGAAAACGGGGCCCAACAGCTTCTATAGCAATGAAAAAAGGAGATGATAAGGAATGGAGAATTTCTGGCTCTCTCTTTTTCCTTCTTCTCTGTGCCTTTGCTCCTCTTTCAGAGGACATAGTTTTTCTTCCCTTTTGCCAGCGACAGCTCCAGCAGTGGTGGCAAGAATCGTGTCATGGCCCTAGGTAGAGATGTTAATATCGCTTCCCCCATTTTCACCTTCTCTGCTTACAGTGCGTCTTCCTCTGCCACCTGGTACTGGCATGAGGATAGAGGCGGGGGTTGGGGCTGGACAAAATGCTTCAAAGGAAAGTGGTCTCAGCCACTCAGCCAAAAATATGTTTGATGTGGGGTCTGCAGTGGTGGAGAAAACAGGACTAGAAAAGATAGGCAACAAAGAGGGCAGGAATGTGCCAGTTCTTCATCTGTGGGAGGCTTATGGAGAACAGGGGCTGCCTACCTGGGATATTTCAGGAATAATATTTTGCGAATGCAGGTGGTATTTTAAATTAGTTTCAAAGGGGTGCCTGGGTGGCGCAGCTGGTTAAACGTCCAACTCTTGATCTCCGCTCAGGTCATCATCTCACATTTCGTAAGTTTGAGCCCCGCTTTTGGCTGTGCACTGATGGCACAGAGCCTGCTTGGGATTCTGTCTCTCCTTCTCTCTGCCCCTCTGCTGCTTGTGCTCTACCTCTCTCAAAATAAATAAATAAAATTTAAAATAAATAAATAAATCAGTTTTAGAAATGAGCATTCATGTGATGAAAGCATTTAGCAAAATAAAATTGTTCCTATGAAAACTACTACTACTGTGATGACCTACCTGTATTTCCCTAATTTGCTTTAGGAGGATGTTGTTGAAGTGGTATCTTCAGCTACTGAGGAATCTTCCTTAACGAATGCCGTCTTAGCACAAGAAATTGAAAATAGTCCAGTTGAATTGGTAAATATATTCATAGTCTTGAAAATTTTCTTAAAAACTTTGTTCTTAAATAGTTAACACTTTATTTACCTAAAAGTTGGTTTTAGAGCGATCATGTTGCTTTCTAGAATTATTATTTAGTGATCTCAACAAAGAGATGTGTCAGTAGTTTGATAAAACACACTCAGAATTGCTTTGACCTTTTTTCTTTCTTTAATTTATTTTGAAACTTCAAATAATTTTAAATAAAACTATGGGATTTTTATATTATCAAAGGTAGTCATAGGTTAAAAATATTGAGAATCACTGTTGAGTTATTCTTGTAACAGCTTTAAAGAAACAGAGCTATATTAGAGGTACATCCTATGGCATTTGAAATTTTACTTCATTTACAAATAAAAAAACAAAAAACAAAACAATTTTTATCCAAAACATTGTATGGCTCAAGGCCTATACTGTCCGAGATTTTTAGAGATCAGAAAGAGAAAATGGTCTGCTCAAAGGGTCACAATTAAATAGCAAAGCGAGAAGTAACATGGACTTACCTGACTTCATGTGTATTACTGTCTTCTTTCTCTAGTCCTTGTACCACAGTGCTGAAGGCATTTTTAAGATTGTAATGAATTCCTATTAAATAATATCAAAATATCTATTAATGCCATAAATAAGTTGTTCTTAAATAAATAATCTTTATAATGAGTTCTGAGACTATTAGATTGTTTTTTCATATGTGGAGAACACTGCATTCTCTGGATAATCTAAGACGGGAAAGATACCTGAATTTTCTACCTGAAATATCCAAACAGCTAAGCCAGAAGAGGGTTGGTTAATTTTCGCCTTTCTCTTTGCTTCTGTAGACACAGGTTATTTTCATACGTGGTCAAGCAAACCACAACACAGCACAAGTTCAGCTGTTTTTAATAATCCACTGGGCTTTCCACACAATGGATTCAGCTGTAGGGTGTCCAGATAGATCAAGTAGACAGGCTTCAGCAAAGTGCATAGACTATTTTTTCTGAGCCTTTTCCTGGTTAGTTTAGTCGTGCGATATAGGTGAAGCTGCAATCTCATGGATCTTTACCAAAGAGTTGGGCCACTGCTTTTTATATATGAAAAACAGCATTTGTGTATTTAACAATATAATAAACGTTAGCAATTGGGTGAATTCATTTATCCCAGGGCAGACCAGAAAGAAATAAAAATAAATTGTACCTGGAGAGATTCGGAAAACTCTTCAGAATGAAGTGACCATATTTTCAGATCACCCCTTTTGGAGCATAAGAAAGGATGCTATACAATCAGGACCAGGAAGCCAGCATAGCTAGTAGGAATGAGGACTCGGCAGTCTCCTTAGCTTTAAGTGATTTAAAATACTATCCAGAATATTCTGGAACTTTCTGAAATCATCTTGGAGTCTGTGAAATTGAAAACACTGTGGGAAGTGTCTTGGCTTCAAAGGTACACATGAAGGCTTGACAAACATTGCACCTCTGATAAGGATGACACAGAAGGTATTGGGTTGCATGGTCAGAGCTAGCCTGGGAAAAATTAGAAAGTAGTTCAGATCTGTGCCACCTTCGTCCCTGCCACCCCCCGCCCCTGCACTTTGTAGGCTTGCTCTTTTGTCAGATTCATCAGCACCTTTCCTATGCCCAATTCTGTTCCTAGCTCATAAAGTGTTAGGTGATAAGAGCTTAGAGTGAGTTCCTGTGAAGGGATTTCAACTTGACTGTTTTTAAATATTGAGGTGTTTCTGAAGGTGGCTAAGCTTTAAAGACTGAAAAGAACTAATCTATTCAGATAATATGACAGGAAGTGGGTTGATCTCTTTTGGACAGGTTGCCCTTGAAATCCAAAAGGTTCTAACCCAATTGTACACAAATTGCTAAACATCATTTATTAATTAGAGCTTCTGTATCACCAGGGAAGTTCAGATAAAGGCCTTTACAATGCAGTTTTTCTATAGCTTTATGTTTACCCTGTCAAGTCAGTTCAAATTGACCAGAGCTGGGATAGTCCTAACCAAAAGTCATGGCTGACTTAACTTTTGGAAGTAAGATCACAGTGCCCTGCTTTGCATTACCAGTAAAGACTGCAGAATCTCCTACTCTGGAGCCCCTCATCACCTAGGGAGCATAGATATAACCCTACAAAGACTGATCTAAAGTTGTATGTTTCCTATTCTGTCGTCAGACTATAAGCTCCTTTATTTAGCAGGACCCAGTGTTATGGTTGGGTTTCTTGTAGCAGCTAACACTGTGCTTAGCAAATAGTAGCATTCAGTAAAATTTGTTTCATTGAGGTATTTTATTATTCATTCAAACAGGAGTCATTGGGGAATCAACAAAATTTTGAGGCAGAGAGGTGGAATGGAAGAATTCTTAAGATGTTAAATAGCTTGCAGGTAAGATGATAGGGTTTGTCAATCCTATTTTTTTTTTTCAAAATAAATAAAATGTTGACTTCAATCTTCTAGACATTAATAAAAATGAAATCATTTTTGAAGTGCCTGGGTGGCTCAGTCAGTTAAGTGTCCGACTCTGGGTTTTGGCTCAGGTCATGATCTCACAGTTCGTGAATTCAAGCCCCTCCATCGGGCATGCAGGCATGCTGCCAGTGTGGAGCCTGCTTGGGATTCTCTCTCTCCCTCTCACTCTCTGCCCCTCCCTGAGTTGCATGTGGTATCTCTGTCTCTCTCTCAATAAATAAACTTAAAAAAAATCATTTTCATTATTTTTTTGTTGAGACCAAATTCCACTAGAATGAAATGATTTTGAGCAGTATACCCAGGGCTAACTGAGAGTTTGCTTTTGGTGCCTGCATATTCTAAGCAACTTCTTACCTATACTCAGACCTCTAGACATCTAGTGCATTTCCCGTTCTTGGGTTTAGGAGGCTATCAACCAATTCTCTATGTGGAACTAAGTTGATAATAACATAAGAGTGGGGCACCTGGATAAGTCAGTAGATTAAGTGTCTGACTCTTGATTTCGGCTTTGCTCATAATCCCAGGCTCGTGGAATCGAGCCCTGTGTCAGGCTCCATGAGGAGCATGGAGCCTGCTTAAGATTCTCTCTCTCTGCCCCCCTCTGCTCCTCTTCCCCACTAGGGTGCGTTCTCTCTCTCTCTTAAAAAAAATGGTATAAGAGTAAAACAGATAATTTTAAATTTAACTTATATTTTTATCAAAATAATACATGTATATAATTTTAAAAGTTACATAGTTCTATGCTATAAGAATGAAAAGGAAACACAGAAGATTTTTGTCTACTCCTCCTTATCTCTAAGTCCTGCTCACCAGAGGCAACTATGTTCAGCTGTTTCTTTTAGCATTTATATCTATATTTCTAATCATATGTTCTTACTGTTCTTTCTTGATATTTCAGCTTTAAATTTTACCTGTTAACTTCTTTCAACATAAAATGAATATTTCGCTGAGTTATATCTCCCCTAACCCCAGTCTGTTTTTAGCACAATATTCAGTGTTTACAATAATTGTAACAGTTATGATGCAGATTTGATTTTGACTAAGAGCCAAAATACCAGTGGTTTAAAAAGATAAAGTATAACCTGGTATGGCTGCTCTGCTCACAAAATATCAGAGACCTAGGTTACCTTTATCTCATTTCCTTTATTCCCAGGATCAAAAATGGCTAAGTACCCATCATGTCTACATTCTGTTCAGCAGCAAAAATTTCTTTAAGTGTACAACAGAGATTGTGTGTATCACTTCCCACATTTCATTGCCTAGGACTTAGTCACCTTGCCACATCTAGCTGGGAAATGTAGTCCTTTGTCTGGTAGCTTTGGGCTCAGCTAGTAATTCTATTCCTATGGAAGACAGGAATGGATAGTAAGAGACAATCAGCAGTTACTGTTACTATGGAGGGGCACCTGAGTGGCTCAGTCAGTTAAGCGTCCAACTTCTGCTCAGGTCATGATCTCGTGGTTTATGGGTTCAAGCCCCGTGTCAGGCTCTGTGCTGACAGCTCAGAGCCTGGAGCCTACTCCAGGTTCTGTGTCTCCCTCTCTCTCTGCCTCTCCTCCACTCACGTTGTGTCTCTCTCTGTTTCTCAAAAATGAATAAATGTTAAAAAAAATTTTTAATAAAAAAACCCCAAAGACTATGTAAAAATTATTGTCATTGCATTTCTTTTCTTGTCAATTTTATAGTGCTTTTTTTTAGTTAATCATTGCCTCATTTCCCCCATTTGCTTAGTGTCTATATACTCATCCTTAATTCTTTTTAAAAATTCTCTGACATATAATGAAACCCCGTTTAGTATGGGCAAATATATCAATTGATTCATCAGTTCCATTTTTTTTTTCTTGAAGATACTCTTTCCAGAGCTCATCATCTTTTTATTCTAATTGGACTAGCTGCTCTCCAGGTCTTTTCTATAGTTTTTGTCTTGGGACATTCCTTTATCATAACATGGGAATTCCTTTGTCTCTTTCCTATATTAGTTTCTCTAGTTCTCGATGCTTTGGTCTTCCTTTATTTTGAACTTTTTGGTGGTTAACATCCTCTCATAATTTCTGAGAGAAAGAGTGCATAGGAGATATACACCCTATATACAAGTCTGAAAATTTCTTTTTTTTTTTTTCAACGTTTATTTATTTTTGGGACAGAGAGAGACAGAGCATGAACGGGGGAGGGGCAGAGAGAGAGGGAGACACAGAATCGGAAACAGGCTCCAGGCTCTGAGCCATCAGCCCAGAGCCCGACGCGGGGCTCGAACTCACGGACCGTGAGATCATGACCTGGCTGAAGTCGGACGCTTAACCGACTGCGCCACCCAGGCGCCCCTGAAAATTTCTTTATTTTACCTTTAACTTGATTGTATGTCTCTGAACCTAGTTTGAAAATAGTATCTTTCAGATGTTGAAGGCTTTGTAACATGTGTAGGCTTCTTGTGCTGTTACTGAAAAGCTAGATGCTGCTTGGTTGGCAATCCTTTATTTTCTCTCTGGAAACTTTTAGATCTTTTCTTTACTCCTAGTGGTCTGAAATTTCAGGATGATGTGTTTTGATATGGGTCTTTTTTCATTTATTGTGCTGACCATGTAGTGGTTTCTTTATTCTGAAAGTTCATGTCCTTGAATTCTAGGAAATTTTATTGTATTTCTTGAATTGCCTCCTTGTTAATCTGTTCTATCTTTCTGAATTGCCTGTGGATCAGATGTTTGATCCCCTGAATTGCACCTTTAAATTTTAAAGAATCTTTTATGCCTTATATCAATTCCCTTTGTTTTGCTTTTTTTCCTATCCTCTAGAAAATTTCTTCAACTTTATCTTCTAGTCTTTATTGAATTTTATTTCTGCTTTCACGTTTTTTGTTTTCCAGGAATTTTTCTTAGTTATTAATTATCGTTTGTTTTGTAGCATCCTTATATTTCATTTATTTATTTACTTTTTTAAACAGCTTTATTGAGGTATTATTAACATACAATAAATCATACCTATTTAAAATACAGTAGAACAATTTTGACATATGTATATACCTATCACCACAATCAAGATAGTGAACGTATGTATCCATAACCCCAAAAAGTTTCCTTGTGCCTCTTGATAATTCTTTGTCCCAACTCTCCCACTGGTCCTCCTCCCACACCTCCAAGCAACCCACTAATGTGGGTTTTTTTTCAATAATCATCCTCATCTGTACTTCTATTCTAGAAATCTGATTCCAAGTACTAGTCTTCCTAAAAGGCGTTATCTTCATCCATAATTAAATGCTTTATTGTAGCTCAACTTTTTCTGGTAGGTTCATAGGTACCCTATGGTGACTCCGATATCTTTTTGATCTGTGTCAAGAAACTGGGAGGTGTTTATAAAGCCATATTCCTCTGCCACTAAGATATATAAATATAATTTTACATTTATCACTATAGTTGTTTATAGTCACCCCCACCCCCCAGTACCTTTAAGGAAAAGAAGCCTGATGAGGCTGATAATTTTCATTGTATTTGAAGCCTCCCAAAGTCCTGTGGGTTGTTTTCTGCCTACAAGTCTAAACTAATTGCACCTTCCACGAGGGCCCTTTATTTACGTTAACATCAAAATTTTAAAAGACCTAACATTTGTATAACACGTTAGAAATTTGCATAACACTTTAAAAGTTCTTTTGCATGCATTTTCTCAATGAGCCAAGCTTGTATTCAGTGACCTATGATTTTTTTTAAGTTTACTAATGAGTCATTTGCATTTAAGGATTTCACACTCCCTTATCAAAAATATCAATATTTTATTCATCATGCATCCACAGCCTGCTGGACTTTTAATGATGTTGTTTCTCTTTCCTTTCTTCTTTTCTAATTATTTTTCCAGGAATCCAACAAGATGGGAATGCAGTACTTTAGTCTGATGAAGCTCTGCAGACACAGTGACCGAAAACAAGCTGCTGCCAAATTTTATAGCTTTCTTGTCCTAAAAAAACAGCGGGCTATTGAGCTGAGCCAGAGTGCTCCCTATGCAGATATCATAGCTACAGTGGGACCAATGTTCCATAAAATGTGAAGGAAATCCAGAACATGCAGATTTATGTCATATTTGGAATTTCTGTGTAGATGGTTCACTTTAATGCAGAAGCTGTCTGGAAGCAGCTGAAGGTCTGATCCATTTCATATATTAGCCAACTGCCTATTTTATGTTTGTAAAGTCAGAATAACCATAGCCAGAATTGGAAACCTGTTTGCTCACAGAAATACTGAATTGTAGCTAAGTAACATTTTTAACTTAGCTAACTTGAATGTATAGTATTTACCATTTCCCTGACTTGAATATTGCATTTAGAATATATTTTTAAAATACTATGTGCCTTCAAGAAATATTTAAGGATATTTTTAAAGCTATTTTATATTGGATTATTTACTTAAGTTTTATGGGAGTAATTAATATTTTGTTTCCCCACAGGCGGTAATTTATTTGATTCTAATGCAAATCACCCTTGATTTGACCTAATGCCATATTTTTTAATCTAATATCTTAATTTAAAAGTTCTAAAATTCATCTTTGTCTTAAATTATCTGAATGACTTTTAGTCTATTTATGGGTTATTTAACATTTTATTTACTATTTAATGATTATTATAACTACCATTCGTGTGTCAGCAAAACTAAATCTCTTCTTACGTTGAAAAAATTAGCAGACACTTATTCAGCACGTTATCTGCAGCTACAATTCAAGTAAAGGTCGTTAAAATAAATGTTCTTTTACTTGGTGTTTACTGAGCATTTTTACATTAAAACCATTGTTTTTCTTTTTTCTTAGTTCAAGTTTGAGTTAGGGAATTTTCATATAACGCTCTGTGAGCTCCATAGTGTTCTATGAAGTGAAGCTGATAGTACTCTCTTAAATCTCCTTGTATCTAGAGTTATCTTCCTGCAAATGAAATCCTAAATGGCCTCTTTGAATGTATTAATTATAATATTGAAATGTCAAAATTTAAACCTTTAAAAATTTAAAATATTTAAAAAATGTCTTTTATTCTTCTAAAGATACATGATTTAAAATCCAAAAAAAAAAGTCTTTTATTTTTTAAATTAACATATAGAAAAACTGACTTTTTCATTTTGGCACATAGTTCTGTGAATTTTAACACATGTCCAGATTCCTGTAACCACCACTACAATCAGGATACCAACAGTAACATCACCCAAAAAATTCCCTGGTGTTATCCCTTTGTAATCACTGCCTTGCCGCATCCTAACTCCTGCAACCACTCGTTTACATGACTATAGTTTTGGGGTTTTTTTAATGTTATATAAATGGAATCCTATAATATGTAACCTTTTTGAAACTTTCGTTCAATATAATGCCTTTGAGAGTTCTCCAAGCGGTTGCATGTATCAGTAGTTTGGTACTGTTTGTTGCTGGGTAGTATTCTGGTGTCTGGATATAGCAGTTTATTTATCCATTTACCCCCTGGAAGACATTGAAGTTGTTTTCAGTTTTTGGCAATTATGAATGGAGCTGCTTAATATACTCTTGTACAGTTTTTGTGTGAACATAAGTGTATTTCTCTGGATAAATATCTAGCAGTGAGATTGCTGGGTCATATGGTAAGCGCATGTTTAACTTGATAAGAAATTATCAAGTTGTTTTCCAGAGTGGATGTACCTTTTTGGACTCACACTAGCAGTATGAGATTTACAATTGACCCTTTGCTACCTTTTATTTTGACATAATTGTGGTTGTAAAAAATAATACAGAAAGACTTGTATAACCTTTACCCATTTCCCCCAATTTTTGCATAATTTTAGTACACTATCATAGGAAACTGACACTGATACAGTCCATTCATCTTATTCATACTTCACCAGTTTTACATGCACTATTTGTGTGTATTTAGTTCTATGTACTTTTTTATTTTTTTTAATTTTTTTTTAACGTTTTATTTATTTTTGAGACAGAGAGAGACAGAGCATGAACGGGGGAGGGGCAGAGAGAGAGGGAGACACAGAATCGGAAGCAGGCTCCAGGCTCTGAGCCATCAGCCCAGAGCCCGACGCGGGGCTCGAACTCATGGACCGTGAGATCGTGACCTGAGCTGAAGTCGGACGCCTAACCGACTGAGCCACCCAGGCGCCCCTAGTTCTATGTACTTTAATACATATGTAGCTTCATGTGACCACCACCACAGTCAAGAAACAGAATAATTCCATCACAAGGATCACTTGTTGGTACCCTTTTGAAGCCACAGCCACCTGCTTCCCTACCTTCCACCCTCGTTTCTGACAACTACTAATCTGTTCTCTATCTCCATAATTTTGTCACTCGTGTGACTTTGCTAAACTTAAAAAATTAGTTTTAGGAGTAGGTCTTTTATAGATTCCTTGGGATTTTCTACATGGACAATCATGCTGTACACAAATAAGGACAGTTTCATTTCTTCCTTGTCAGTCTGTTTCCAGTGTGAGGAAGAAGGCATTCACTTTCACCATTCTGTATGATGTTAGCTATAACTGGTTTTGGGAGAGACGAATAATTTTTATCGGGTTGAGGATATTCCTTTCTATTCTTTCTATTTTTTCTATTCTTAGTTTGCTGAGAGTTGGGTTTGCGTGTGTGTGTGTGTGTGTGTGCATGTATGAATTGATGTTGAATTTTGTTAAACACTTTTTCTGAATTGATTGATTGGTTGATGAGGTTTTTCTTTAGACCGTTAATATGGTGAATTACACCAACTGATTTTTGAATTTTTAAACAGTTTTGCATTTCCAGGTTAACTCTCCTTAGCTATGATATATCTCTGGATTCAATTTGCTAATTTATTTTAACAGCTTTATTGAGACATAATTTACATACCATAGAATTCATCCCTCTTAAGGTGTTCATTTCATGATTTTTAGTATATTCAAGAATACAGCTATTACCATTATCTAATTTTAGAACATTTTCAAAACTCAAAAAGAAACCCCATACTTATTACAGTCACTCCCCATTCTTTCTTTCCCCACAACTCCTGGAAACCACTAATGCACTTTTTAACTCTCAGACAGTGTATGGTCTTTTGCATCTGGCTTTGTTCATTTAGCATAAAGTTTTCAAGGTTTATCCACATTGTAGGTTGTATCTGTACCTAATTCTGTTTAATGGCCAAATCCATTATATGGATATACATTTTGTTTATCCATTCATTAGTTGGTAGATATGTGGTTCCCACTTTTTGACTATTATGAATAGTGCTGCTGTGAACATTAGCATATAAGTTTTTTGTGTATCTGTGTTTTCATCTTTCTTGGATGTATACCTAAGAGTGGAATTGCTGGGTCATATGATAACTCTATGTTTAACTTTTTGAGGAACCGTCAAGCTGTCTTCCAAAGTAGTTGCACCATTTTACATTTCTATCAGCAATGTGTGAGAGCTCCAATTTCTTTAAATCCTCGTTCTTGCTTGTTATTATCTTTTTTGTTTTAATTACAGCTATCTTAGTGAATGTGAAATGATATCTTATAGTTTTGATTTGCATTTCCCTAATAACTAATGATGTTGAGCATGCTTTCATATGGATTTGCTAGTGTTTTATTTAAGATTTTTGCATTTGTGTTCATGAGGGTACTTGTTTTTTCTTAAACTGTCTTTTTCTCAGGGCTCCTGGGTGGCTCAGTCGGTTGAGCGTCCGACTTCGGCTCAGGTCATGATCTTGTGGTTTGTGAGTTTGAGCCACGCGTCGGGCTCTGTGCTTACAGCTCGGAGCCTGGAACCTGCTTCAGATTCTGTCTCCCTCTCTCTCTGCCCCTCCCCTGTTCATGCTCTGTCTCTCAATAATAAATAAATGTTCAAAAAATTGTTTTAAACTGTCTTTTTCTCGTTTGGGTATCAGGGTAATACTGGCTTTATAAAATCACTTGGAAAGTGTTTCCTCCTCTTTTCTATTTTTCTGGAAAAGAATATGTAGAATTAGTGTTATTTCTTTTTTAAAAGTTTAGTAGAATTCACCAAATGAATTGTGATACGGATCTGAAGATTTATATTTAGGAATGTTTATGAATTCAATTTTAAAAATAGTTGTGAGGTATTATCTGTTTCATTTTGGGTGACTTTTGTTAGTTTCCAGTTTTCAAGGAATTTGTTCCATTTCATCTAAATTGGTGATTATATAGAGAGAGTTGTTTGGAGTATTCCCTTATTATCCTGTTAATGTCTGCAGGGTCCATGGTAATAACACCTCTTTTGTTCCAGATACTGTAATTTGTGTCTTTTCTCTTTTTTCTTTTCAGTCATACTAGAGACTTAATAATTTTATTGGTCTTTTCAAAGAACCAGCTTTTGGTTTCATTGATTTTCTCCTTTGTTTTTATTTTTTCAATTTCATTAATTTCTGCTCTGATATTTATTATTTCCTTCCTTTGGCTTGCTTTGAGTTTATTTTGCTAAGGTGGAAGCTTAATCGATTTGAGACTTTTCTTCTTTTCTTTTTTTTTCTTTTTAACATTTATTTATTTTTGAGAGACAGAGAGAGACAGAGCATGAGTGGGAGAGGGGCAGAGTGAGAGGGAGACACAGAATCCAAAGCAGGCTCCAGGCTCTGAGCTGTCAGCACAGAGCCTGATGCAGGGCTCAAACTCATGCATCGTGAGATCATGACCTGAGCTGAAGTCAGATGCTTAAGCGACTGAGTCATCCAGGAGCCCCTCTTTTTTTTTTTTTCTTTTTAATTTAATTTAATTTTTTAATTTACATCCAAGTTAGCTAGCATATAGTGCAACAATGATTTCAGGAATGGATTCCTTAATGCCTTTTACTCATTTAGCCCATCCCCCCTCCCACAACTCTTCCAGTAACCCTCTGTTTGTTCTCCATATTTAAGAGTCTCTTATGTTCTGTCCCCTTCCTTGTTTTTATATTATTTTCGCTGCCCTTCCCTTGTGTTCATCTGTTCTGTGTCTTAAAGTCTTCATATGAGTGAAATCGTATGATACTTGTCTTTCTCTGACTAATTTCACTTAGCATAATACCCTCTAGTTCCATCTACGTAGTTGCAAATGGTCTTTTCTTTTCTAATTTAAACCTTAATGCTATGTATTTCCCTCCAAGTACTGCTTTAGCTGCATTGCACAAATTTTGATATATTTTTTAATTTCTTTTGAGACTTCCTCTTTGACCTTGTAGATTATTTAAAAGGATATTGTTTAATTTCCAAGGGAGATTTTCCTGTTATCTTTCTGTAATTCATTCCTAGTATGCATCATTTTGGTCAGAGAACGTACTTTAAATGAATTTGAGTCTTTTAAATTTGTTAAAGTTTGTTGTATGACCCAGCATAGGGTCTGTCTTGGTCAATGTTCCGTGGCACTTGAAAAGAATATATTCTGCAGTTGTTAGATGAAGTGTTCTATAAATGTTGATTGGGCCTAATTGATTGATAGTGCTGTTTACTTCTCCTTAGCCTTGCTTATTTTCTGCCTACTCATTCTACTGATTACTGAGAAAAGAGTATTCAACTCTGCAGCTGTAATTGTGAATCTGTATTTTTCTCCTTTCAGTTCTGACAGTTTTTGTTTCATGTATTTTAAAGCTCTTTTATTAGGTGCATACACATTTACAATTATTATATCTTCCTGGTAAGTGACCCTTTTATTTTTGTATAATGATTCTCTTTATCTATGGTAATTTTCTTTGCTTATCTTAAGTCTACTTTTCTCATCTTAAATCATTCATTCCAGCTTTCTCTTGATTAGTGATTGCATGGTATATATTTTTGTCTTTTACTTTTAATCTACCTATATCATTCTATTTAAATTTTTTTTAACGTTTATTTATTTTTGAGACAGAGAGAGAGCATAAACGGGAGAGGGTCAGAGAGAGAGGAAGACACAGAATCTGAAACAGGCTCCAGGCTCTGAGCTGTCAGCACAGAGCCCGACGTGGGGCTCAAACTCACGGACTGTGAGATCATGACCTGAGCCGAAGTCGGACGCTTAACTAACTGAGCCACCCAGGCACCGCACCTATATCATTATATTTAAAGTGAGTTTTTTATAGACAGTATCTATTTAAGTCATTTTTTTATCCATTCTGATTATCTCTTTTAATTGATGTACCTAAACCATTTTTTTCTTTTTTTTTTTAAGTAAGCTTCACACCTAGCACAGACCCCAACACGGGGCTTAAACTCACGACCCTGAGATCAAGACCTGAGTTGAGATCAAGAGTGAGCTGCTTAACCACCTGAGAAACCGAGGTGCCCCTAAAACATTTATTTTTAATGTAAAGATTGATATGTTTGGACACAGATCTACCATTTTATTATTTGTTTACTATTTATTCCCCCTATTTTTCATTTCTCTGTCCCCCCCCTTCTTGTTTTATTTTGGAATATTTGAACATATTTTTAGAATTCCATTTTAATTTATCTGTTTTTTTTATCGTATCTTTTGTTATAGGTATTTTTAAGGATCTCAAGGATTACGAAATATATACTTAACTTTCCACATTCTACTTAGAATTCGTATTTTACCATCATAGAAGTTCCCTTCCACTCCCTCCTTTATATTGTAATTATCTTGTCTACATATATTGAAGCCCCCATCAGACTATGTTACAATTTTTTTTCAACTGTCAAACTTATTTCAAATAATTCAAGAAGGGAAAAATAGTCTACTAAATTTACCCAGATCTTTACCATTTTTATTGTCCTTTCCTTCCTTATAGTCCACACTTCCTTCTAATATCATTTCCCTTCTGTCTGAAGAATTTTCTTCAACAGTTCCTTCAGAGCAGGTCTGCTGACAATGAATTCTTTTAGTTTTCCTTTATCTGAGAATATCTATATCACCTTTATTCCTGAAGGATACTTTTGCTGGATATAGAATCCTGGTTGACTGATCTTTTCTTTCCACAATTTAAACATTTTGTTCCATTTTTTTTTTCTTGCCATCTATGGTTTTGGTTGAAAAATCCAGTTATTTAAATCATTCTTTCTGTATAATTAATACATCATTTTTCTCTGATTGCTTTCAAGATTTTTTCCTTAAGTTTTCAATAGTAACTGAAAATTATTATTTTATTATTATTATTGTTGTTATTATTTGGTTTCTCCTCTTTGCAGAAATTTTTTTAATGTTTATTTGTTATTGAGAGACAGAGAGTGAGCAGGGGAGGGGCA